AAAAATCATTGATCAAAATAGAGGCTTTCCACTTAGTGGTCCGGCAGGGAGCAGTCAGAGGCAGGGGTTCCCGGGGCAGTCAGGGGACGGGGGGGTTGGATGGGACAGGAGTCCGGGGGGGGGGGCTCCATACAATTTCTGAAACTTGATGCGGCCCTCAGGCCAAAAAGTTTGCCTGCCCCAATACAGCGTAAGAAAAGAGTAACACTTTACAAGAAAAAAGTGAAAGCTGAAATAAGCAGAAATAAAAACACAAGCCCTAATTCAAATGGAGCAACCCCCCGGGGAGGTGGAGTCATTTCATGTTTCACTTGTAATCATGTGCCACAAACCAACTAGTACACAAATTGTGCAAGCACACACTTATTACTATTCACATAGAATGCGCATTGTAAAATTGTCCGCCCATGAATACACTAACACAAACTAAGTTCTGCAGGCCAGAGACTATTCATCTCTTATTCACAGCTGAGTACGTTGTCCATTCTTATTAACAAATACTAATCTAAGTCCTCAGAGATCTATTCACATGAACTGTAAATTCACGCAGTGTATGTACACACACACTGTCCGCTGCACCCCTCCACATATTGACACGTCGTGGACAGCCACTTCCATAGTGCCCTCCATTGAAGTGTTCAACATCCCAAAAGATAGGTATTATTCTAATTTTACAGATTGGAAAACGGAGGCTCATAATGGTTAAGTGACTTCTCCAAGGACATTAGTCAATAGCAGAGCCACAAACAAAAATCCAGCTCAGAGTTCTCTGCTCTAACCATGAATCTCTGCCTGAGGGTTATATACAACCACCTATGGCAATAACTCCATTAAGATGGGGGTGAATGGAATGCTCGCATCTCATGGGACCGTGACATGAAAGCTCAAAGGACCCTTTCCTCCCTCCAGGTCAGGGTGTGCAGCATGGTGAGCTACTAACATGCAATAGGCCTATTGTGTGGATAGTGGACATCCTCCAGCATTAACTTTCACTAGAAACATGGTTAAAATGATGTGCTCCCAGATTGGTGGAGAAATCTAAGCCCCTTCTCAGAGCCCCATTAATCCCCACCAGCTGCTCCCACAACACCAGTTCAGTTAGTAATAGATAAAACAGCAATTACGGATGTGAGTGGGGGGTTTTAAATGTGTTTCTCACATCAAACTGGATTCCCAGATAATTTACAGTGATCTCAATTCCTCTTGTGACTGGATCAGTCTTCCCAACTCGATCAAATACGATATTGATGGTTGCCTGCAGGAGAGAGACAAGTGCATCAGTTCAAGGGAATGTGGTATAAACAGCACAACTGTATGTGTGACACATATACATGTCCTTTGCTCTGTATTTCATCACAGAACAGTCCCATTGAGTTAACTGAGAGTATACAAAATGTATGAAAACACACAATGAAGTAAGAAACAGTTATCCCAAATGGATGCTAATTTCATTCAAAAACTAATTTCCAGGAGCAGGACGTATGAAAGGAAACTGGAAGAATATTCTTAAGGTGCAGGCAAGAATCTGTGTGTAAAGTTTCATTACCCGTATGTATCAAACAATCTAAGCAAGGTGTAACCCTCCATGCAAGAGGTTTATGAATATATGACATTCACGTACCATGAAGATTTTCCAGACACAATAGATGGAGAAAAAGTAACCCAGGAAATTAAAGTATTTCCCCTGGAAAGTTTTGGAGTATTCTATTCTCTCCTGAAAGGAAACAAAAACAACAAAAACCACCCATACATTTAACATTTTCAGGTTCACATAAAATTCAGTTTTAAACAGTTACCAGTAAAAAACAGCAATGATTACTTTGTCCTTCTACAGCTCTCACCATTCAAGTGTTTACAAACACTTACATTAATGAATGAACCTCAAACCCCATGTGAGAGAGAGCTGTAACAGTAGCTCCTCTTATTAATAGGGAAACTGAGGCACTGACCAGTGACGTGCCAAAGTGTCACAGCTAATAAAGATCTGGAAAGAGAACCCAACTCTCCAAACTTCTATTCCTGGCTTCCACTAAGCCATGCAACCTCCTGACATTTTAGCACTGACATGTATTAATTTTTATAGAACATAAGAACTCATCACTTCAGTACATTGTGAGGCCACTCTGCAGAAGAAAAGACTAAGTCAGGGCTTTATTAGCAGGGGAACTGAGCACAGGCCCCTTGGTTACTCCCCTCCACTCTCCCAACACAGTTTGGGATTGCTGGCCTTTTCTGAGGCCCGGTACATGTTCCACTGCATATCTGAACTGGGGAAAACAGCTTGCCATCTGACCCCCAGATTTGAGAAACAGACTCTTCCAATATTGTCTCAAAGCTGAGAAACCTGCTGCTGTTTTCGTTGTTGCCAGCTGAATGACTTTAAAATTACTTCTGTCTATTCTGCTCATCCTCTCCCAGACTATCAATCTGGCTCTTTGCTATGTACCTTAGTTGCATGCAGGTCAGCAGTTTCCAGGAAAAGCTGCCGACTCAGCTCTTCCAACGCATCCACTTCCTGCTGGATAAGGGACAGATCTGGCAAACCAGAAGAGTCAAGGGTAGAATTCTGCAGAAGTTCCTAACATCAGCTGGAAACAAACATACCCTGAGGTTCCTCCTCCATTCCTGGGCTCCCTGCACAGACACAATCTCAGTTTAAACTGCTCCAAAAACCCTCATATGATAGAATCTTCAGAGCACTCCATTGTAACAATGCTGGGCAGCATGGTACCTTTAACAGGATCACATAACTGATCTCTATCACAAACAGAGGAATGCACACTACCAAATGGAACCAAGTCTCTCCCAAAAACTAGCTGCTTTGTTTTTATAACATCCGCACGCCTTAATCTCCACTAGAACTTCCTCGTGTTACTTGCACTCCATCACCATCTACAGGACTTCTGCTGGGAGTTACAGAATGGTTTTCAAATCCTGTGGAGAATTTTCCTCACCATGCATACCCTCCTGCTCCTTCCTGTTGGCCCAGAACCCTACCCATATGGCTCTCAGTAAGGTTCCCTGCCCCTCCCCTGAAGCATTTTGGGAGATCTGAATCTGAATGCTTAGCAAAAACTATTGTCTTTCTGTAACTTCCACTGTTTCCCAAGTCCCACCCCACCCCTTCTCACAGGATTCCTTTCTATCTTGTTCTCATCAACACTCTCCCTACACCAACCCTTACCTGAGCGGATGTCCAATATTTTGTTGTGCTATAGTGTAAGCTCTTTGGGGCATAAAGTGTTTCTTACACTATGCTTTGGGAAGAGCTGTGTGATATATAAATGCTTAACAACACTGGCCTCCCTGTCCTTTTTCCTAATTAAATCCCATTTCTACTCAGCAGGGAACTAGCCTAAAGCCCCAGGGACAGGAAAAGAAGGATACTTTCACTGCCAGAGGCTGATGTGGTAACACTTTTTATCATTCCCCAGAAGCCGGTGGGTTTGTTGTGCACTTCCCCTCTTTGGAACATGGTCCTGTGGGCCATTGCCATTCTGAAAAGAGAAAAGATTCAGTTCTCAGAAAAAGATGCCTTGCACAGCAGACATTGTGAAACTTATTCAGTGCAGAGACACACCCCTACCATTCACCCAATCACCAATCCTGCTCCAAAACATCTTAGTCTGCTCAGGAATGGAATCCAGTCCTAATCAAACAAGCTGCCATGCTGTTGAGGTTTCAGTAATACAGAATGGATTTCACACAAATTAAAAATAAAGATTCAACTGGTGTCTCAGGCATGTGACTTGTCAGCCTCCCATGTCCTCTTCCAGATCATGTGACTCCGCAGTCTTCAATCTCAGAGGACAGGAACTGCTAACAGGGGAGTTTGGCAAGGGAGTTTAAAGGGGGAGTGTGAGCAGGGGCTAGAGACACCTAACATTCTGTGCACTTAAAGGTCAAAATACCACTTGATAAAAACAAAGCACCAACAACGAAACAAGCTTTGGGAGTAAAAAAAAGAGAGAATGCAGGCAGAAGTCCAGCAACAGAGTGGGAGCTACCCAGTTTATTGCACCCAATGCAGCATGTACAATTACCAGCCCTATGGGCTGGTGACATATGTATGGATTCAGTGCAAGGAGCTCCTGGCCCTCAGAGACCGTGTACGGACTTTGGAGACCAGGGTGGCTGAGCTGGAGGAGCTAAGGGAGACAGAGAGGTACACAGATGAGACTTTCCAGGACACAGTAGATGAAGGCCTCAGGGAAGGAGAACATCTAACTGGAGCAGAGGGAAACAATCCCGTAGTTGGGACCCTCCTCCCAGATGATGCTGTGGTATCCTCTCGCACTGAGGATATTTCTCCAGGGGAGGGAACTCCAGTTATTAGGAAGAGACAGGTATTAGTAATAGGCGATTTGATCATTAGAAACAGACAGCTGGGTTTGTGATGATCAGGAAAACCGCATGGTGACTTGCCTGCCTGGTGTGAAGATTGCAGATCTCTCCAGATATCTAGATAGGCTTATGTGTAGTGCTGGGGAGGAGCCGGTGGTTGTGGTACATGTAGGTACCAACGACATGGGGAAGGGTAGGAGAGAGGTCCTGGAGGCCAAATTTAGGCTGTTAGGTAAGAAATTGAAGTCCAGGACCTCCATGGTAGCATTCTCTGAAATGCTTCCAGTTCCACGCGCAGGGCCAGTTAGACAGGCAGAACTGCAGCGTCTCAATGCATGAATGAGACGATGGTGTAGGGAGGAGGGGTTTAGATTTATTAGGAACTGGGGAAGCTTTTGGGAGAGAGGGAGCCTATACAGGAAAGATGGGCTCCACCTAAACCAAAATGGAACCAGATTGCTGGCGCTTAAAATTAAAAAGGTCATAGAACAGTTTTTAAACTAAGGACTGGGGGAAAGCCAACAGATGCAGAGGAGCATGTGGCTTGGACATCCCTTAGGGGAGGATCTATAAATGGAGATTCGCTATGTCCTAATAAGGAGGAGAGGATGGAAAATGATAAAATACAGGGAGGATTTGATGGGAAACAGTCAAATGAAAAAAAGTCCCATTAAATTACGTCATGCAATAGGGACAGCCAAAAAATGACAAGTTTTTAAAATGCTTATATACCAATGCTAGAAGTCTAAATAATAAGATGGGTGAACTGAGTGCCTAGTATTAAATGACATTATTGATATAATAGGCATCACAGAAACCTGGTGGAATGAGGATAATCAATGGAACATAGTAATACCAGCATACAAAATATATCGGAAGGACAGAACAGGTCGTGCTGGTGCGGAAGTGGCACTATATGTGAAAGAAAGGGTAGAATCAAATTAAGTAAAAATCTTAAATGAACTAAACTGTATGATAGAATCTCTATGGATAATAATCCCATGCTTGAAAAATAAGAATATAGTAGTAGGGCTATATTACAGACCACCTGACGAGGATGGTGTTAGTGACTCTGAAATGCTCAGGGAGATTAGAGAGGCTATAAAATAAAAAACTCAATAATAATAATAATAATGGTGAATTTCAAGTATCCCCATATTGACTGGTTACATATCACCTCAGGAAGGGATGCTGAGATAAAGGTTCTTGACACCTTAAATGACTTCTT